GAGACGACGCAGGAGTCCACACAGAAAGACATGGCGACGTAGTGTGCTGGAGGAGGTCTAAAGGATAGGGAGGGATTGGGAGCAGCTGAAAAGAGTGGCAGCAGACGGTGGAGAATGGAAAGCGTTGATAGAGGCCCTATGTTCATCAATGAATGAAAAGAAAAAAATTATGATGATTTAGTTCGACATGACCATAAGGACACATTTTATACGGGAAAACAGAGCTTTCCCATTTTTTCAATGAAGAAAAACGACGAACCAGAATACAATTAAACTAACACGCAGGCAAAAGCCTTTCTGTCAAGAAAAATGTAATGGAATAATTATGGACGTTTTTTCGCTTAGTAACGAGCTGATTTTTTTTAAGCAAGAGAAATTATTCTTGCAGAAAATGAGATTGTCTTATAAAATCGATACATTTTCACGCAGGATTTATTTAAAAAACAGAAGTTCTATGCAAAACCTGTAGCCTACTAGCCAAGAAAAGAAGTGTCATATTTTTTTAAAAAGAAATTCCAATTCGTAATATTAATTAACGTTTCTAGTATCAGAAAATCAATTGTAACTCAATTCTCAATTGTTCATTTTCAAAAGCAAATTCCCAAAAGTGGCTTCCTCACCTGAATTAAAATATAACTAAAACTTTAAATAAACAACACTTCCCGATTGTAGAAGTCACCCCCCCCCATGCCCTTTCAGTATTAAGATATAAATCTCAAACTGTTTGCTAATCATCACAAAGACTAACGCTATCTAACATCACTTGTAGACAAGACGTGTGCAGATATCGATTACAACCACATTATTGAACAACACGCTTCATATCTGTCAAAAACGGTAATCAAATATGTTTAAAATATTTTCAGCCGAATATGCATGCAGCAAGTTTTATAAAACTAGTCTGTAATAAGTGGCATGAGTTGTATGCCTTAGTCTGTTTATTTTAAACTAACCGTAATTTTAAAAACTTCAACCTACTTTTAGAAATATGATTGGCCCAGAGTTGATAGGCTTATATTGTTATTTTAACAAGACAAAGGTACAGATAGCAAATAAAGATAGGAAAGTAATCTATAACCAGACAGGACAGTAGTGTATAACCAGACAGTAGTGTATAACCAGACAGGACAGTAGTGTATAACCAGACAGGACAGTAGTGTATAACCAGACAGGACAGTAGTGTATAACCAGACAGGACAGTAGTGTATAACCAGACAGGACAGTAGTGTAGGTCTATAACCAGACATGGCAGTAGTGTATAACCAGACAGGACAGTAATGTATAACCAGACATGACAGTAATGTATAACTAGACATGACAGTAGTGTATAACCAGACAGGACAGTAGTGTATAACCAGACAGTAGTGTATAACCAGACAGGACAGTAGTGTATAACCAGACGACATCCATCACCCCCTACTCCCCCTGCACCGTGTCACCTCTCCAGCGAGCCCAAGGATGAGACCTTCAAGTCAACACTCGTTCAGTGATCTTGACAAACAATGGCGCTGTTTATGTTTACTTTCTGTCCTAGCCCGATTCACACCATAATAAATAACGTGAGGTTAAAGTTAACGGTTGGTTTAAAAGCTGAGGTTATACTTTTTGTAGCTTTACCAAACGGTGTGATGAAGCTGATTTTTGTTGTGGTATTTTTATGTTTTTGTTGCAGTGTTGTTGAGGTTTTGTTGTGTTATTGTTGTGGAATTGTTGTCGGATATTTGTTGTATTGGTGTTATGGTATCGTTGTTGTATTGTCGTGTTATTGTTGTGGTAATGTTGTGGTATTGGAGTGGTATTGGAGTGCTAATAATGGTGAGTTGTGGTTTTGTTGTGATATTGTATTAATTTTGTGGTATTTTTGTGGTACTGTTGTAGTTTGTAGTGGTATTGTAATGGTATTGTGGTGTTATTGTAGTGATATTGTGGTATTGTTGTGGAAATTGTTGTAGTATTGTTGTGGTATTGTAGTGAGATTGTGGTATTGTTGTGTTATTGTAGGTTAATAGAATTATTCCTTCCTCTACTGAATAATCTCGCTACTACACTGACCATTTAAAAAAAAATCTTAAAACTGATCTACATTAGCAAAAAGGGCAAAAAGTACAGGCCTAATAACAGAAGAGTTTAAGCCAAATATAATAATCGTTAAATTGTGAACCCAGCGACAGATCCTGTCAAGGCGAGGCCGTTGTGTAAAGTACAACACTTTAACCCCCTCGCTCCCACCTCCTCTCACGTGCTGTAGTGTAAAATACAAGGCATTAACCCTCTCGCTCCCACCTCCTCTCACTCGCACTCTTGCTGAGCACGTCAGCAGAGGCGACTTCCTCCAGGGGTCTCGCGAGACTGGGCAGATCACGTTGTATTAGGCACTGCTCACGTGACAGAGTGGAATTGTCGTAGGCATTAGGCCACAGTTGTTGGATGTTGGTAAATACTTTATAGTAAAGGTATACGGTGTATACAGTGTACATAGGTATATATAGTATTCGCAGGCATACAGTATAGTCAGGCAAACAATATACATATGCGTAATAAACATACAGTATACTGTATACTCAGGCATAAGTATATCGTATAAACATACACAGGCATACAGTATACACAGGAATACAACAAATACAGGTGCAAAGTATATACAGTATTTACAGGTATACAATATACAATATAAACAGGTATACTGTATACAATGTGGCTACAGGATGGTCAGTATACATAGATATACAGTACACAGAGGTATACAGATATACATGGTGCTCATTTATAAAGTATACACAGATATACAAGTATACAGGAGACATCTCCATTTAGTAAAAACAATGACTTTTGATTCCTTTTCCCTGTGTACAACAACTCTTGACGTTTAACAACAGAAAACAGAAACTAGTTCATTTTTTATTGACAAATTCTCTCTATGCCAGAAATGAAATAAAAATATAAATGCAAATTTAAAATAATAAATCTTACGAATTTTTAAAGCAAGTCAATAATTGTTTTTGTTTTACATTTACTTTGCTTGCTTCATAAGCCCACCTCAGACAACTTGAATTACAAACGTAGCGTTCTTTCTTTAGTTTTTCTTGCAGCATACTTTTATGCATTAGAATTTGTAAGTTGATATTTTAATCGTTGCCAAACATACCCATTATACACGCTCTCTGTAACCAGCCATACCATGGTATCAATGTGCATAGAATTTCAACATTTTCAACAAACATAAAGGCAAAAATCTATTTAAAAAGACCGCCAAAAAAAAAAATTGAAGCAAGGCATTGCGCATTGTTTAATCAGCAAGTTTTAAAAGGCTTGTACTTCTTGTATACACATTAGCCTACATACAATCGTCCATGTGTATTCAACTATTACATAGTGAATTTTAACAACTAAAGCCAAAGGGACAAGTGTTACGAAAACATGAGAACCATTGTGATATATAAAAGACAAAGGTATGATGATATAACACACCATAAAGGTCGACACGGTTTTATCTCAGCTAATGTGACTGATAATTTGTGATATATGATATCCAAAAAACCTTGATTGAAATCATTTATCAAACTCAAACTTGCCCAAAGGTCACCGTACTATAGGTCTCACCGATATAATAATTACAAATGTTAACTTTTGTAGAAACACTTATTACATTCACCTAGTACAAAAATAGACCTAATGCAAAATGTCACAAAGAATCTAAATAAAACAGTCTGTTTTACAAGTAACTTACTGTTGAATGATGGCATTGATGTCAAAAAACCTACATCTAAAGTCGATTGCTGCTTCTAGATCTACTACAAAATGACATTTTTTTGTAATTATCATCTTAATTACAATTTGAATTATAGTTGCCATTTTTTGTGATCATACTGTATTTATGCATTTCAAAGCTGGTTGACAACTGGCTGATTGTTACCTAACGTAAAACTGAAATGGAAGACAAGACACGGAGAAAATGTTTCAGTCGCTTATAAAAAGTTTTATAGGAAACCTGGAGGCAAAAGGGGGATGACTCACATGGTTTTAGGTGAGTGACCATCCCGCTTTATCATCACCATGTGCTGGCAATTGGCTGCAAGATAACCTCGAACGCCTACAAACATTTAGAGTTCATCTACCCACTGTCATAGAGATGAAAAGTGAACCAAAAATATTTATTTGTAACTTTGTAGGACAATCTACCGTTTGGTAATTAAAAAAAAATATCTGAGGATTAATGTTTTGATTAAGTTTCGATAATTGTTGGTCGTAACGAAGCTATTGTTGTTGGATGGTGGTGGTGACTGACAATCAAGTACCATTGAATGAGTTTGGGGACCTTTAAATAAAGTGTCGTGTAGATGAAAGCTGTAACATCCTATCCTGTAACACTCAAAGTACACCTGATCTCGGTAACTAGGTCTACCCAATCTAAAGGGATGTACAGTCAGCGATACAACTTTGCTATGTATAACCATCGATAGAGCTTTGTTTCAAATGGTTCTAACAATATTTTTAGGGGATCTAGCAAAAAAATGTCTGACGATTGAACTCGGTTAATGTAATAAATTTACCAGATTTTTCGTGTATTTGAAGGGGCTTTATTAATGGCGGCCATTATTGGAGTTTCTTCCAGGCATCTCTTCGGTGGGGGGGGGGGGGGGGGGGGGGGGGGCGGGGGGGGGGGGGGGTTCCGCCCCCCCCTCCCGAAAATTTCAAGTGCCCCCCCGGAGAAAAAAGTCTGGAAGAAACGCTGTTCATCATTCCACCGCTTGCTCGTACGAGACACGTTTCCTAGAATAAGAGATTTGATTTCATCAACCAAAGCCACAAGAGACTAGACATATTTAAAATAAAAATAAATAAAAATAAATTACTCGATCTGTAGTTTTAACAACTCGAAATTTTAATACATTAATTAAATAACATTTAATTAACCCCTTACAGGGCCCACGGGTTAATTGTTGTGTAGGGTAATTTAGATGAAATCTAATCAGCGAGCCGTCAGAGATAACTCCATCAAAATAGTCAGACTGACACAGGGAGATAAATCCGCTTTCACCTTTTATCACACGTCATTATCCTTGCCAGTCAGTAGATCAACCCATCTGTACCGCAAGAAAAAAATGAAGTCTGTAATTTTCTTGGCGCTGGTCTGCACGAGCATCGTCTCGGCTAAGGGTGAGTAGATTGGAGTAGTTCCGTTTTAAAAAATATAAATATATAAAAACCTTTTTACTGAACTCGTAAGTAAGGTCATCTGGGGTAGGCCCAGTGTTGACAAGAGCCTCAGATTAACTGGATGTTATTTTGAAACACGGGTAATACCACTTAATAGAGTCGTCATAAACATGCGAAACACAAGCCAGCTATGAGCGTCATTTGACTTGTGGTTTACATTTGTTTTTAAAAACCTGCCTGCAAAAACAACTATCAATTATTAGGATACTATTTTATAAATGTAGGGTCTAATATAAATACGCAAGCATATTTGAATATAATATGTATGCACACTTATATATGCTTGCGAACAGAACGTAACTACAATATAAATGAAAGATAAGTCCTTTTAATACACACACACACACACACACATATATATATATATATATATATATATATATATATATATATATATATATATATATATATATATATATATATATATATATATACATATATATATAAAATCACCCACCTCTCTGTCATCTAGAGTTTGTCGCCACGGTACGCCAGAATTATGAAAACAACATCAACGATCTCTTGGTGGCCCAGATCCAGAAGGAGTTGTCTGCCAGCTATCTTTACCAGGCTTATGTAAGTAAAACTTAAAAGGTATACAAAAAGTATACAAAAGGTATACAAAAAGTATACATCAAACATGAAAGCCAGAAGGAGTTGTCTACCAGTTATCTTGTACACCTGTAAAACACCCGTCTTAATCTCTCCAGGCATCTTACATCCAAATTTACACTTCTAAAACACCTGTCTTAATCTCTCCAGGCATCTTACATCCAAATTTACACTTCTAAAACACCTGTCTTAATCTCTCCAGGCATCTTTCTTCCAAATTTACACTTGTAAACACATGTCTTAATCTCCCCAGGCATCATACTTCCAATTGTACACCTGTAAAACACCTGTCTTAACCTCTTTAGGCATCTTACTTCCAAATGTACACCCGTAAAACACCTGTCTTAACCTCCCCAGGCATCTTACTTCCAAAGAGCCGACGTGAACCTGCCCGGCATGAAAAAGTTTTTCTCTGATGCCTCAACCGAAGAGCGGGAACACGCCCAGTCCCTGATCGACTACATTAACAAACGTGGAGGTCACGCACAGTACGAGGAGGTCAATGTAAGTCGCTGTAGGCCTCAACAACAACTTGGTTGTCATAGCAACTAACGGGAGGTTGTTGAGGAAGTGGGTGGGCATTGCTAAACATAAATTAAGGAGACAACCTCCTAGTCATACGTGAGCAACGCAGTTGGGGTGGTGATCAAACAAAAACTATTGAGTGGTAAGGGTAAGAAACAAATTATAGTGAAGTGGTTATGAGAGGTAAACACGCTGAGATGGTTAAATCCTTACAATACACTGGTATAATGGGCAAATACAAGCCGAAAGTAAATCCACTTATATTATTAAACTAGAGCTTGTTTCTCTCCCCCCCCCCCCCCAGCTGATGGAAACATGCAAGACGGTGAGGACCTTCACCAACACAGACACCAGCGGTCTCGTGGACTACGACAAGAGAAGGATGTGTGTAAGTAGCCCCAGTCTCTCGTAGGTGGGCTGTTGCAGGGCCTTTCTCGAATCTTCTAGATTACGTGGGACAATCAGATTCATCTTCTAGCTTACATGGGATCCATCAGATTCATCTTCTAGCTTACATGGGATCATCATAATCATCTACTCGCTTACATGGGATATCAGATTCATCCTCTAGCTTACATGGACTTTCAGAATCTTCTTCTAGCTTACATGGGCTTTCAGGATCAGCTTCTAGCTTACATGGGCTTTCAGAATCAGCTTCTAGCTTACATGGGCTTTCAGAATCTTCTTCTAGCTTACATGGGCTTTCAGAATCAGCTTCTAGCTTACATGGGCTTTCAGAATCATCTTCTAGCTTACATGGGCTTTCAGAATCATCTTCTAGCGTACATGGGCTTTCAGAATCAGCTTCTAGCTTACATGGGCTTTCAGAATCATCTTCTAGCTTACATGGGCTTTCAGAATCATCTTCTAGCGTACATGGGCTTTCAGAATCGGATTCTAGCTTACATGGGCTTTCAGAATCATCTTCTAGCTTACATGGGCTTTCAGAATCAGCTTCTAGCTTACATGGGCTTTCAGAATCATCTTCTAGCTTACATGGGCTTTCAGAATCAGCTTCTAGCTTACATGGGATAATCAGAATCAAATTTTAACTCGTGGGTGACGTTACAATTCACCAGAATCAGCTCACAAACACACATACAATTACACATACAATTACACACACAAATACACGCTCACACATACCCAAATACGCACACACTCATCCACACAAATACAAACACACAAATACAAACACTCTCACACACTCTCACACACAAATACACACACAACACAACTTTGCCGTGGATTCTTTAAAAAGTTTTCATGTCAAATAAATAATATCTAAAAAAAAACTATAATTATTGCCTTTAAAAAATTATATATTCCGCATTGAAGTCTAATTAAAAGCAACAATTTTTCGTTTCAAATTAATGCGTATTAGATTAAAGAAGAACTTAAGAAAACGTGTGAACTAAAGCAAAATTAACACGAAAAAGCTAGTTTACAAGCTATTAAATGTTATTATCTTTTACTGGACAAACATAATATTATTCCATTCTCGATGAAGATAGATATGGATTTATCTTACCCAGGAACTGGCAATACTTTCCTTCTTATAAAATCAAATCTTAAATTCGCCAAAACTTTGTTTCAGATCTGTGGATTTGTTGCTACTAAACAGATCAATGACAACTGCGTAAGTAACTGGGGAATCTAAAAGAGTGCACGAATTTTAGAGATCTTTGTTAGAGTAAAATTTGAAAAGAACGTCAGTTTAGTGTGGAGTTTGTCTGATGGAGTGGGTGGGGGAGGGCTAAAATTTGAACAGAACGTCAGTTTAGTGTGAAATTAGTCGGGTGGAGAGGGGGGGGGGTATACTGCTGAAGCTGTTGAATATGATGGAGAGTAAATTACTTTGGAATTACTTGTCGTCAAAGCAATGAATGTGAGATGTATTAAGACACGGTGTATACGGAATCCAGGATAAAGTATAGGCTTATGACGTGAATATAGGATAGAGTTGCTCTAGGCTTAATCAACGGAGAAGCACACAAAAAAATCATGTTTAACCTTTGAGAAATTATAATTTTTCAAACGTGTATTTGTTCTTAAAAAGCCAAGGTCTGCCTAATACCATAAAAATAGTTTTCACCGACTGGTTTTTATCGCCTAAGGAAAAAAATATTTAATTTATTTTTAAAAATATATTCATCAGTGCTGTGGTTGCTTCAGCTAGGCAGTGACAGTCTTAAACTCATAAATCTCTCCTGTGAATAATTGATGCGGTGTTGCATTGCAGGATTCATGTTATCATGTTCGTTTTTAAAGAATTTTTTTAAAATCTTTAAATCTTAATGCGATTAATGTGAGGAGCTTAATTTATGTCTGCCATGTCGTACAGGGACCAAGGGAGGATTGGAAGGAAGCTCTGATGGCTTTTGAAGACGCTCTTGCCATTGAGAGGTTCGTGAACTCTGAACTTCTGGACATTCACAAGCAGGCTGATGCCAAGGGAGACGCCCATGTGAGTAATGCAGAGAATAGGGAAACGTGTGTGAGTGGGTGGGTGGTGGGGTAGGGAAGGGTTAAAATAACTTTAAGAAATTTAAAGATAATTAACAAATAATCATATTTCTCAATTGTTTCTTAAATTTAATAATTATCTTTTTGGATTTAATTTCCTTTTTAAAAAAAAAACATTATGCCGCCTTTTTTTTTTACATCACTTAGTGACAGTTATCTTCTTAATTCTAAAAACTGACATTTTAATTAAGCTACCCTATTGATTAATTAAAATAAATTGGATTCGTAAATACCACACGCCGTTGTTTAAAGATGGAGTTCATGTTTTTATTTTTTTTATTATTTCGTTTCGCAGTTGACCCACATTCTGGAGCACGAGTTTCTGGAAGAACAGGTCAGCTCCATCAACAAGATCGCCCACGCCATCACACGACTCCGCAGCTTCGCCCAGGGGGCCGGCAACAACTATAAGCTTGGAGAATACATCTTTGATCAACACCTTTAGACACAATCTAAGATAACAACACGCAAGCAATATATATATATATATATATATATATATATATATATATATATATATATATATATATATCTATATATATATATATATATATATATATATATATTTATATATATATATATATATATATATATATATATATATATATATACATACATATATATGTATATCATATATAAAATCAAAGGCTTGTAAAGTGACTAACTTCTACAAATAATTTAGACAACGTTTAAAAGAAATTGGACACTTATAGGAATACCATGATATTTTAGGAAAAAGAATTTTGCATTAAAGATTTTTTTAAAATATATATTAAAGAGTTTCTGAGTGCTTGAACTATATTTTGAGCCCACCTGAGCGTTTAAAAATTTAGTAATAAAGATGATGATAAATTGCTTTAATTAGCATTTTTTAATTGATAAAAATCAGCGCACTGACGAAACGGTTAAAATTTAATGAGAAACTGAATAATTGAAGAAAAAGCGTTTAATGAGCATTTTTAATTAATCTAAACTTCGTTGAAAATTGGATATGAAAGGGAGCCCTTTATGATAATATGTAACTGAAACGTTATTTCCACTGAGCTGTTGTAAGCTTGTAGAAACATGATCACTACCTGAAATTATTGTGAATCAAATTGTTTCAATAATTACCGGGTATCGACACGCATTTTTAAAAATAAACTACATCAAATTATCCCTTAGTCTAACATCCCCCCATCCCCAACCTAAGTTTCTTAATCTAGCGTGATGTGTATCGTAGAGGTTTATTAAAATTAATATCAAAAAGTAAAAATAGGCTTTATAAATGTGAGTAATCTACACAACAAGAAAGTCGATACTACCAGGAGCCGTCACGGAATGAGCCAATGAGCCATAACGACGAAAATCTATTTGTCATTGTGTCGTGGTTTAGTTAGCAACCTTGACATTCTACGCCCATGGCACTACCAGGGATGAGTGGTATGGGTGAAGTGGGTTCAAGTCTTGAAACAAGGGAGATATGGCATCGAGCGAGGGGAGGCAAGCATTGATTTTAAAATTAGACATCCATTATTATCCATACAAAAATCAATACAATCGGTTCAGGTAACAGTTTTTGCACTAGACATTTTATGTTGCTACTTTAGGACGTACATGAGCTCACCCATCTCTAATGAGTACCCGGTATTAAAATAAAAAAAAGAATAACAACACATGCCAAACTAGCCGGCTTTAATTAAACTGTGGCCAGATAAATGTATGATTCTAAGCTTGATTGATGAGCATCAGATCTTCAAATCAATTATGAACGACTTTTTCGTACAACCAGGGCGAGATATTCAACAAAACATGTAATTATAATTCTTTTAAAAGCGAAACTATTTTTAAACGTACTTTAGCAGCTGAGCCAATCAGCCTGACCTTTCGGTAAGTAGACGACTCTGAAGAAATCTATAATCAATACATGTCATGGTTGGTGCTGGGCTGGGTAGATCTCATTAGGTCATTTGACCTGTTGGTGGGTGTAGGGCTTGGTGGTGATCTCATGAGGTCATGTGACCTATTGGTGGGTGTAGGGCTGGGTAGATCTCATTAGGTCATGTGACCTATTGGTGGGTGTAGGGCTGGGTAGATCTCATTAGGTCATGTGACCTATTGGTGGGTGTAGGGCTGGGTAGATCTCATGAGGTCATGTGACCTATTGGTGGGTGTAGGGCTGGGTAGATCTCATTAGGTCATGTGACCTATTGGTGGGTGTAGGGCTGGGTAGATCTCATTAGGTCATGTGACCTATCGGTGGGTGTAGGGCTGGGTAGATCTCATTAGGTCATGTGACCTATCGGTGGGTGTAGGGCTTGGTGGTGATCTCATGAGGTCATGTGACCTGTTGGTGGGTGTAGGGCTGGGTAGATCTCATTTGGTCATGTGACCTGTCTTGTAACCAGTACGAGTTAGTGACCCTGCCTTACATTTTAAAAATTACCATTTAAAAATATTCTGCTGCGATTCAGGAATTTTCTGAGCATAATTTAACTAATTTGGTTTAATTTGGACTCTGGTTATAGAAAACGACAGACGGATGTGGTAATAGAAGCAGAGAGAGGTGACAGAGTCTGGTATAGAGGATAAGTGGGGGGAGGGGATAAGTCGGTGGAGGGGATAAGTGGGTGGAGGGGATAAGTGGGTGGAGAGGGGTGGATGGGATAAGTGGGTGGAGAGGGGTGGATGGGATAAGTGGGTGGAGAGGGGTGGATGGGATAAGTGGGTGGAGACTGGTGGATAAGTGGGTGGAGACTGGTGGATAAGTGGGTGGAGACTGGTGGATGGGATAAGTGGGTGGAGACTGGTGGATGGGATAAGTGGGTGGAGACTGGTGGATAAGTGGGTGGAGACTGGTGGATGGGATAAGTGGGTGGAGACTGGTGGATTAGCTGGTGGAGACTGGTGGATAAGTGGGTGGAGACTGGTGGATAAGTGGGTGGAGACTGGTGGATAAGTGGATGGAGACTGGTGGATAAGTGGGTGGAGACTGGTGGATAAGTGGGTGGAGACTGGTGGATTAGCTGGTGGAGACTGGAGGATAAGTGGGTGGAGACTGGTGGATAAGTGGGTGGAGACTGGTGGATAAGTGGGTGGAGACTGGTGGATAAGTGGGTGGAGACTGGTGGATAAGTGGATGGAGACTGGTGGATTAGCTGGTGGAGACTGGAGGATAAGTGGGTGGAGACTGGTGGATAAGTGGGTGGAGACTGGTGGATAAGTGGGTGGAGACTGGTGGATAAGCGGGTGGAGACTGGTGGATAAGTGGGTGGAGACTGGTGGATAAGCGGGTGGAGACTGGTGGATGGGATAAGTGGGTGGAGACTGGTGGATGGGATAAGTGGGTGGAGACTGGTGGATAAGTGGGTGGAGACTGGTGTATAAGTGGGTGGAGACTGGTGGATGGGATAAGTGGGTGGAGACTGGTGGATGGGATAAGTGGGTGGAGACTGGTGGATAAGTGGGTGGAGACTGGTGTATAAGTGGGTGGAGACTGGTGGATGGGATAAGTGGGTGGAGACTGGTGGATGGGATAAGTGGGTGGAGACTGGTGGATGGGATAAGTGGGTGGAGACTGGTGGATGGGATAAGTGGGTGGAGACTGGTGGATGGGATAAGTGGGTGGAGACTGGTGGATGGGATAAGTGGGTGGAGACTGGTGGATAAGTGGGTGGAGACTGGTGGATGGGATAAGTGGGTGGAGACTGGTGGATTAGCTGGTGGAGACTGGTGGATAAGTGGGTGGAGACTGGTGGATAAGTGGGTGGAGACTGGTGGATAAGTGGGTGGAGACTGGTGGATAAGTGGGTGGAGACTGGTGGATAAGTGGGTGGAGACTGGTGGATTAGCTGGTGGAGACTGGAGGATAAGTGGGTGGAGACTGGTGGATAAGTGGGTGGAGACTGGTGGATAAGTGGGTGGAGACTGGTGGATAAGTGGGTGGAGACTGGTGGATAAGTGGGTGGAGACTGGTGGATTAGCTGGTGGAGACTGGAGGATAAGTGGGTGGAGACTGGTGGATAAGTGGGTGGAGACTGGTGGATAAGTGGGTGGAGACTGGTGGATAAGCGGGTGGAGACTGGTGGATAAGTGGGTGGAGACTGGTGGATAAGCGGGTGGAGACTGGTGGATGGGATAAGTGGGTGGAGACTGGTGGATGGGATAAGTGGGTGGAGACTGGTGGATAAGTGGGTGGAGACTGGTGTATAAGTGGGTGGAGACTGGTGGATGGGATAAGTGGGTGGAGACTGGTGGATGGGATAAGTGGGTGGAGACTGGTGGATAAGTGGGTGGAGACTGGTGTATAAGTGGGTGGAGACTGGTGGATGGGATAAGTGGGTGGAGACTGGTGGATGGGATAAGTGGGTGGAGACTGGTGGATGGGATAAGTGGGTGGAGACTGGTGGATGGGATAAGTGGGTGGAGACTGGTGGATGGGATAAGTGGGTGGAGACTGGTGGATGGGATAAGTGGGTGGAGACTGGTGGATGGGATAAGTGGGTGGAGACTGGTGGATGGGATAAGTGGGTGGAGACTAGTGGATGGGATAAGTGGGTGGAGACTAGTGGATGGGATAAGTGGGTGGAGACTGGTGGATGGGATAAGTGGGTGGAGAGGGGTGGATGGGATAAGTGGGTGGAGACTGGTGGATAAGTGGGTGGAGACTGGTGGATAAGTGGGTGGAGACTGGTAGATGGGATAAGTGGGTGGAGACTGGTGGATGGGATAAGTGGGTGGAGACTGGTGGATAAGTGGGTGGAGACTGATGGATAAGTGGGTGGAGACTGGTGGATGGGATAAGTGGGTGGAGACTGGTGGATAAGTGGGTGGAGACTGATGGATAAGTGGGTGGAGACTGGTGGATGGGATAAGTGGGTGGAGACTGGTGGATAAGTGGGTGGAGACTGGTGGATAAGTGGGTGGAGACTGGTGGATGGGATAAGTAGATGGAGAGGGGTGGAGGGAGACGGATATAAAAGTAAATTAATATTAGGGTAAAATCCGGGAATAACTAAAAATAGAAACATGAGACCGTTTGGACAGAAGCCTTGTTTACGCAAGGAACCTTAAGGAATGATGATGACGACGATAATGGATTGGGACTGATGAGAAAATAATTACGGGGATGTACGAAGAAGGATTGGTGGATGAAGACTGTTGGACATGGAATGTGTGATGTAGATGAGACCTATACCACTACTAACCACAATAACTTTTCTATCAACATTAGTTTAGAGCAATGGGGCTAGAAAGTACAATGTGTTTTATTTTGTTTTCACGACCTAAAGACACACATATGATCTCATCTGTGAACTGGATTTCAATTAAATTAAACCTTTTCTTTTAAAACAATGTCGGTCATTTGAGACATGTTTTATTTTTTTATTTACTTTTTATGGGGAAGGAGGGAAATGTGTGTTGAGAAATTAAATTAATGAGGTCGTGACGCCAGTAAAGGTAGAATGACGTCCCTTTTTTTTAGAAAAGAGAGTTGCGGAACCTGGAGTAGATCAAAGATCACAAATGCTAATCTGCTTTATTATTATGTTGCTTATCAAATGTTTTCATGTATTTTTTTGAACCCAATCAGAGAAAATTTCGTCTTTTGACTTGCATATTGTAGAATAGAATTCAATTATAGGATAAAGTAATAAGACCAATTTTAAAATTTTCAAAGTTAATTTTTTTTTAAATCTTACAAACTCATGAAAAGAAGTGAGGAAGTAAAGCAGTAGGTTAACATTGCAAAAAATTAGAAAATCTAAACTTCTTTATAGATCTCATCATTCTGTTAAAGTTAAAAAAAAATTAAGATGAATACGTATTAGAGGTTTTAATGAGGTTTTAGATAATCAAGTTATCTATTTTTAAAATGTAAAACAATATTTTTACCAGCACATTCAGGCGTCCCACACCTGTGGTGGGACGCAAGCATAAACTACCAGTTCCTCTCTTCTTCACTTTACCTGCAATCTTTTTTTGAATAACATCTTTTGACAGAAGGATTTCTTTGAAAAAAATATTAATTACGCTGTCAATATTATTACTTTCTTAATTATTTTTTTTACTGATGAACCATCTGAACACGAGCTGTCTCGATAGAAACAAAATGAACTTTATAAAAACAAACGTGAGTAAAAATGACGATAATGACGCGATACTGGCTGTAAATATAATACGAGGTCAGAAAAAAGAGGCGAAACGTCTCGTCTACGTCATCAGACTGTAAGAGATGGGAGGGGAGGGGTGTAATGATTACATAGATTGTGGATATAAGTATACACATTCGCTTAAAATGTAATGGCATCCGAGTAATTAGACTTCTTAAAATCGTGTTTTCTTAAGTGAATTCAAACGGATTCTGAGCCAACTTGAAAGGTCATTGTTTTTAAGAGTACAAGATGTCAATATCTTAAAATAAATTGTAGAGGACTTGCTAAACGTTTGATTTCAACTCGATAAAGTGCAGTCATATTTAAAGACTTGGTGACTGTGTCATATCAACTTGATAAAGTGCAGTCATATTTAAAAACTTGGTGACTGTCATATCAACTTGATAAAGTGCAGTCATATTGAAGACTTGATGACTGTCATATCAACTTGATAAAGTGCAGTCATATTGAAGACTTGGTGACTGTCATATCAACTTGATAAAGTGCAGTTCATATTGAAGACTTGATGATTGTGTCATATCAACTTGATAAAGTGCAGTCATATTAAAGACTTGATGATTGTGTCATAACAACTTGATAAAGTGCAGTCATAGTTAAAGACTTGATGATTGTGTCATATAAACTTGATAAAGTGAAGTCATATTAAAGACATTATGATTGTGTCCTAACAACTTGATAAAGTGCAGTCATATTTAAAGACTTGGTGACTGTCATATCAACTTGATAAAGTGCAGTCATATTGAAGACTTGATGACTGTCATATCAACTTGATAAAGTGCAGTCATATTGAAGACTTGGTGACTGTCATATCAACTTGATAAAGTGCAGTCATATTGAAGACTTGGTGACTGTCATATCAACTTGATAAAGTGCAGTTCATATTGAAGACTTGGTGACTGTGTCATATCAACTTGATAAACTGCAGTCATATTGAAGACTTGGTGACTGTCATATCAACTTGATATAGTGCAGTCATATTGAAGACTTGGTGGCTGTCATATCAACTTGATAAAGTGCACTCATATTGAAGACTTGGTGATTGTCTCATATCAACTTGATATAGTGCAGTCATATTTAAAGACTTGCCGAACGCGTCATGACAAATCGACAGTATTCAAGTCTTGCTTGTCTTTACAAAGAGTTAATGAAAACCCTTCTCACTTTAGTATACCTTCACTGCCTGCTCAGAGTTAAACATGCATAAACATCAAGAGTTAAACATTGTTAGAATAGAGAGTTAAACAGGGCTGAGCATCGAGAGGTAAACATGGTTAAACATCGATAGTTAAACAGGTTTAAACATATAGAGTTAAACAAGGTAAAACATCGTGAGTTAAACATGGTTAAGCATCTAGCATTTCTCACACCCTAGTTACCCAGCCGCTAGACCTGGGGTTTCCGCAAGGTTTTTGTTTTCACAGTTCCATCAAATGACGACCTACACCAGGGGTCGGCAACCTTTTGAAGCGGAAGAGCCAAAGGTTACAATTTTCAAAATTTCTCTGGTTTTAAAGAGCCATTAACATTTTTTTTATTTCAAATTTTTTTTCATTAAGATTATTAGTATTTGTGCAAAGAGCTGGAGAGCCGCAACTTGATACCAAAAGAGCCGCATGCGGCTCGCGAGCCGCAGGTTGCCGACCCCTGACCTACACTCAGGTTTCAAAGCTCATGACTTCCGGCTAGCAAGAGGCGGGTCACACCATAAACCTCCAGACATTTTTCCCATTGCATAAAATGAGAACCATTGCCCGGCTTGTATTTCGTACTCGACTTTATCACTTTTACATTTGCACCGTGTCGCAAATATAGGTCGCATCAAACGGCTGATTAAAACTTGGTCAGCTGATTAGCACTTAATTAGGAACACCCGAACTGTCCAATCTTTTGAGGCTCTGTCAAGATACATCAAACCCATCGCTGTTCGATATGAATACACGGTGTAAATGTAACCACTGTATCCGACGCATATCACTGATAACGGTGTTTGGTTTATCTGTGTCAAAGTTGACCTCTAGAGGTCAAAGTTTGCACGGGTGGGCCAACGCACCGACCGAAATAACAAATTAACTTTTTCTACTTTCTTATTATTTCAATTTGTTTTTATTTGTTTTTATTCACGAGTTTGAACAATTGAAAAGCAATTTATTCCAAAAATGAAGGCAATTGGCATTTTGTTTTTTGTTTTAATGTTTGTAAGCTCCTCTCATCAAATCGAGGAAGGTAAGTACAGACTTTATAACCTGTTTAACTAGATTTCTGTTCATTTAATTTAATATACTTTTTGTTCTTTTTTTATGCTTTCACTTCTTTGAATCTCAAGAATCGAAACAATTATGTTTCCTTTTTCCGTATCCAATGCATTGGATGAATGCGGAAAGGTTAAGGACTGGTAGTTAAAGAAAAATCAATGTAGACCCTACACTACAGATAGTGACACAGAGCGGAGAAAGCTGTAGAAAATAGTTTTCTTTGTACGGATGTAATAGGCTAACATCACAGCTGCGTCTAGGCGTAAACAAATCAAGCTAAATTGCCAGAAAAATTAAATTTTAAAAAGTAAAAATTTTAATGAGATTTTTATTTTTAAATTTTTATTTTATTTACATTATTGATGCCAAGACTTGTGATCATGGTTATCCAGATTTTAAAAAAAAATGTTTGTTTTTATTTTTGATTTTGCTATGATTTGTGACCATGTTCAGGCAAGATTATTTAAAAGCATTTGTTTAAATGGTTAATGTTCCCAGATTTTGTGACCACAGAAAGCCAAAGTAATTAAAAAGATTTTAATTAAATGCCAGATTTAGCGACCATGGTCAGCCAAAGTGATTACAAAGATTCTGTTTGAATTTTTTATATTGCCAGATATCGTGACCTTGGAAGTAATTACAAAGATTTTATTTAAATTGTTGATTTTGCCAGATTTTGTGACCATGATCAACCAAAGTAATTACAAAGATTTTATTCATTATTTTAATTATGCCAGATTTTGTGACCATGGTCAGCCAAAATTTCAACCCCAAGATGAACAGCAAATTGGAACAGCACATTCTTCATCTTCATAAGCAAGAACTTGCCCTTAAAGCATATGTATGTATATGTATACAGTATGTATGGCGAATGCATTTATAGGTATGGAGTATGTAAGGAGTCTGTTTTGGCACATGTATAAATATGTGGAGTATATATGACACATATAACTATATGTATGGAGCATGTAAAGCACGTGTAAAAATATGTTGAGTATATATCGGACGTATTATTCTCTACATGTCTTATAATGTTGAGTATATGTTGAGTATATATCGAACATATTATTCTCTACATGTCTTATAATGGTTTTTTTCAAGACGATTTTCATATTGATTGGCTATGCTCAGAAAAAGGAAAATGTCTTTTCAAAAATCTCACGCGAGCTAATGTCATGCTGACATTCTTCGAGCTACGAGCTTGTTCGATAAGCAAGGAACATTGCATCTATGTTCGAGTCTGCATCTAATAATGGATACAAAGGCTAATCATCGCTAAACTGACCATTATAATTTAAGGATGTGACTATTGGAAACAAAGATGAGCCTAATAGACAACTTTCTACATTGTAGGCTGACTAACTACGTGTTCTATTTTAAATTATAATTGAATGCCCTTTTAACATTAACCAAAATGAATTTAAAATCATACTGAAGTTAAAAATGTTTTTCCTACTTGGACAATACATGATGAAGACATACAACGTGACGGCAGAATTATTGACAAATCGAAAGAATAGAGAAGCGTGTCTTTTTTTTAAACCGATATATTTTAAATTTTTATAAAATTATCAAACTGCTTGTTATTAATATACTACACAGATCAAACTATTTTAGCTTATTTTTGTTAATTCATTTAGAAGTTATTTGATTCTTATTATTGACGCCGAAAGCTAAAATTAAAATTTTCAAAGAAATTTTTTTATTGCCTAATCATGAATACAAACTCGATTTATTATTTTCTCAAAGGAATCTTATTACGGCCGATCAGACGTGGACCTTCCCGGGCTGAAGAAGGTGATGAAAGAACTCAAAGAAAGGGCGCACGAGAACGCCCTTGAGATTACCACGTTCATCAACGCGAGGGGCGGTATCATTCGCTATCCAGCAGTGCAGGTTAGTCTAGTTGCCGAAATACAATGATTATTTTCTCAGAAAATGTCGGAAGGCTATTTCCGATCTTCCGGCAAGGGAGAGTGACAAATTCAAGTTGGGTGCCACACATCGGCATTGTTTGCTATCAGTAATAATCGGATTATTGATCATGTGACTCTCAGCGAACTGTTATTGATTTTCTTTTACGCAATAGGGTCTTCTTTAAGGATCATGCATAAGGCCACATTTATTTATAGTTTTATAAAAAATCCTTTATTTATGTTTTGTTAAGGTTATCAATTATTTAATCAATCCATAGTTAAAAGAGCACAGTAGTCAATAGTATTAAAAGCGCTAGCTTTTTAAAAATATCAACAGCCTTGGAAACAGAAACAAAAAGAGTAACAAACTCTGAAATATTTTAACATGATAGCTGAAGGGAAGAAAACGTTCATCGTTTTGTGCTCTCAAATAAAAACAACAACAAAAAGACCCAATTATTTTTATATTTGCATTCTTGCAAAATTAAAATACACTAAATAAACAGACTCCACATATCAACGCAGGATAACTAAACCAAGCAGGGTTTCTTTCATACATTTTTTAGGGGGGGGGGGGGGGGCTTGTCATTTCTCGGAGGATGGTGGACATTGGTTAAAGTATATACAATTCTATTTAAAAATTCTTCTATTTCGTCCGAGGGTACATGCCCCCCCCCCCCCCCACTCACGGGAGATGTCTGAAAGAAACTCTTGTTCGCAGTGAAACACTTAAAAACATTTAAAAAGCCATGATTTTTTATTTGAAATGTGTCGCCGCGAGACAAAAAAATTAAACTCAGATTTTTTTTCTTCCCACAGCTGAGCGCCGCTTGTGACGACATCGGGAGGTCGTTGACAGCCTATCACGTGACACAGCCCAGCACGACAACTTCCGTTTCTCTGGCACCGAGAACAACGCCATACGTAATACATGACTTCATGACTTGATAGGAGATACGTAATGCATGACTTCATGACTTGATAGTTGATACGTAATACATGACTTCATGACTTGATAGTAGATACGTAATACATGACTTCATGACTTGATAGTAGACACGTATTACATGACTTCATGACTTGATAGTAGATACGTAATACATGACTTCATGACTTGATAGTAGATACGTAATAAATGACTTCATGACTTGATAAGAGATTTTATGTTTTTATGACTTAATAGGAGATATAGAATGTTATGTTTAAATGACTTAATAGGAGATATAGAATGTTATGTTTAAATGACTCCAACACCCCCATTACTAAACTGCTAAAAATATTTAGAACAAATATTGACTGAACGCAATTTCAGTTGGATGGCAAATTTAATTATTCTTGTGAAATATTACATTTAATTAGAACACCTAATGAAGAGTGATCTCCTCTCCCGAGCGCCCACCTAGAAGAATTTAATGCCTGCCTTAAAAGCCTCTTATTTTATACTGCATTAAAATCCATTTCATTTGCTATTGATTGAGCAGATTTGTCAGTTCCTTACCAAGCCGGAGAAATCAGAACCAACAAAGAAGAAGAAAGTGTCGGGGATTAAAAAATTTCTTGGCTTTTTGGACAGTAATGAGGATCAAGAAAAGAGAGGAGTCATTCAACGTCAAGATGTATGTGGGTGGTGTCGGTTGATGTGTGATGTGTTTGATATATTTGTTTATGTGCAAATTTGTCTATAGTGTGTGTGTGTGTGTGTTATGTGCTAATTTGTCTATAGTGTGTGTGTGTTATGTGCTAATGTGTCTATGGTGTGTGTGTTATATGCTAATGTATCTATGGTGTGTGTGTTATGTGCTAATGTGTCTATGGTGTGTGTGTTATGTGCTAATGTGTCTAAGGTGTGTGTATTGTATGTAAACGTTTCTGTTTATCACGTGTGTATTTTATGCGAATGTGTCTATTTAGTGGACTTTAGGATATATTTATCGTCTGAAAATCTTCTGTTTTGAGTTTAATTTAGCAAATTTTTAATTCGTGTAGATTAGTATAGGAGTTTGAACACTTCAAATATAGAGTAACCTGTGGCGTCACTATGTCGGGTAACGGTCGGTGTTGATAATGGAGGTGTCACCCCCTCTTCCCAAACGCATATTTACATTGATCCTACAACTAAAGGCATATTCTTGTCACTTGCATCCTCGATTGTGTAACTGCATGCATGAATATGTAAATACTAATGACATGATAATTTCTAATGATGTATGATAATATTAGTAGACAAAGCCACTAAGTTAACAGGACAAAGCATATATTTTATAGAAGGTTGCAGTTTTTCTTTTTGGAGTCACCCCATTGGATGGTTTCACTCTGTCTGGTGTGCACACTCCCCACTCACACCTTCTAACGCTAGTGAACTTGTCTTCTAACCTCTCCGTCTGTCCCACAGTGGTAAATTCATAAAACCCACCCAAGTGTGTTCCCCAGTGGTGCACGAATCAAACATCTGCCAACAGTATTACTAGTATTAGTACACAGCGGTGTGACTTAAATTTACATTTTAAAATTTAGTCTACTTTTGTTGACAAATCTAATGTGTAGGACTGTAGGCTACTCCTGTTAACGAAAGCAGTAGCGTCAATGAGTGGGTGGGAAGAGGTGGGGGGGGGGGGGGGGGGGGAGTGTGGATCGGACCAAAGGGGGTGACATGATAATTTAAAAAACAACAACGCTGAAATTATTAGTTTTTTTTTAAATTAATTAATGCGATTTACTAAGTACATCAATAAACAGTGTGACACGACAGGAACAAGGTATAACATTGAAATGGCTGTTTTTGTTAGTACACTTACAGATATATATATATATATATATATATATATATATATATATATATATATATATATATATATATATATATATGCGTGTGCGTGCGTGTATCATGTTTTTTCCCCACAAAGTCTGTGTACGTATATCCCCATGTCCACTGTGTACACCTGCCCCCACGTCCACTGTGTACATCTCTCCTCGTGTCCACTGTGTACATCCATCCCCATGTACACTGTGTACATCTGTCCCCATGTACACTGTGTACATCTTTTCCAGTGGCAGTCTGGCCTGTACGGCCTTGAGGATGCCCTGGCCTTTGAGAAGTCAATCAACGACGGTCTTCTGGCGCTGACCAAAGCCGCTGTCCAGTTTACAGATCCACTGGTAGGTGCACTTTCAAACATTTTCTCCGAGAGAGGGGGTGGGCACTTAAAACTTGGAAGAGAGGCATTATTTCAAGGGGGGGGGCACTGGTTAAAGTATTTCCTATTTTTTTCCGGGAAGGGGTACTCCCCAGAGTTTCTTCCAGGCATCTCTTCGGGGGGCTTTGCCCCCCCCCCCCCCCGAAATTTTTTTTACCGCCCCCCCCCCCCCGAACGAAATGAAATTTATATAATTTATATAGAAAATATATACTTTTAACAGTGTCCGCCCCCCCCCCCCCCGAAGAAAGTCTACCGCCCCCCCCGAAAATTTCAACCGCCCCCCCCCCCCCCGGAGAAAAAAGTCTGGAAGAAACACTGGTACTCCCCCCCCCCCCGCTAGAGTCACCAGAAAGAAAACTATAGGTCAAAAACTGTCTGAACATGTAGATTTCACAGACCCATGAGCAGGTGAAATGTTTTAACATGTTTAAAGTTTAAACAAATTACAGAAAGCTTACACCCAAGGGACGTAATTAACGGGGAGAGAATCGATGATGAGATAACTCGGGCAGTCGTTGTATTATTCTGTTAAAGATCGATATTTTTAAAAATTGTAAACAATCCCTACTTTCATCTCACCGCCACATTCATTGTGTCGGTTAACTGCGAGTGTTTGCAATGCCGTGTGAATAAATAAATAAAACGTTGGAGGGTAAAGACAAGGGCGGATTTAACTGGGGTGGGGCATCTGGTTGAAAAAAATATCAGGTCCCTGCATTATATTGATGGGTTACTTTGGGACAATATGAAATCTAGTTTGTATGTTATATGGACATTCAGATTGAAAATGCAATTAAGTTAAAGTACCGCGTAGAGAAAATACGGTCTACTGGTAAATGGCATGCCTTCGTAAACACAAGAGCTGCCCAAAACCCTTCGCTCCACAGGGACCACACAGGAGTAAGTCAATTAAGTCAACCTAAACTCAGACTAGGAGCTACGGATCAGCCTGAAGGGTGTAGTTTTGTATTAACCTGCCGCCCAACAATACGAATTGGTAGCGTGCTAAAGTTCCTCGAATTCGAAATCATTAACAATAACAAATGTAAAGACCCCCCCCTCCCCCGGCCACCGCCCATCAGCTTCCTAAGTTTACTTCTTTACGCATAAAACTTACAACAAATATCATTCGAGATGGGACATTGATTCAGAGAAAGAAACATTGATAGCCCTATGCTGCACAGCTGTAGGTATAAGTGAACTCAAGTCGTGAAAGAAATATCTGACAAAGACATCAGCGATCATTGAACAAAGAGAAGTACTTGAGGAGAGAATCGATGGTATAAAAATACAACAGGGATACCCGGGTTCAAGCCTGTTACAATAGGATCTGCACTATGCTCCATTGGTGGCGTCCATTTTTGTTACCATGGGGACCCGCACTATGCTTTAGTGGTTGCGTCCATTTTTGTTACCATGGGGACCCGCACTATGCTTCATTGGTGGCGTCCATTTTTGTTACCATGGGGACCCGCAATATGCTTTAATGGTTGCGTCTATTATTGTTACAAAATGAACCCGCCCTATGTTTTAATGGCGACGTCCATTCTTGTTACCATAGAAACCTACACAATGCTTTAATGGCGACGTCTATTTTTGTCATATTGGAACCCGCACGATGCTTTAATGGCGACGTTTATTTTTGTTACTATACGAACCAGCATTATGGTTCTCTCAATGGGGCGTGGGTAGGGTTTGCGTGACCGGCTGGGTCATGTCTCATCCGGCATCATGGAAAATTACAGATGTTTTTTTTTTAATGGCTGGCAGCTTCTGTAATGATAATACGAATCGACCAAGTATTGTATGCTTGACAAATTACGACACGATTTATCTTAGTTTCACCGTGTTTTAACCTATTTCATCCATATTTTAGATCACATGTTTTATTAAGTTTTACAGTATTTTTCATCATAGATTTTATATTTTGTTGCATCTTTTGTCTTGACATGTGTTATTAAATGTTCATTTATATTTTATTAACAATTCAATTCACCACAGGTCTTTTATTACAGAGGTTTAATAGTAAATTTTATTCCTGATTAAATAGCAGATTTCATTAAAGGTTACACAATATGTTTCATCAAAACTGACACCACAGGTTTTAATGTTTTATTTTTGTTTTATTTTATATTTTATTATTTGTTCCTCAAGGACGTATTATAGGTTTTGTCAAAAACTATTTATAGGCTTAACTGTCGGTTGAAACAAAGGAAGTAGAGCACCAAAATAAACTATCCGTAGCGACATAACACTTCGAAACTTCCGCTATAGGGCTGGTAAGTAGGTCACCAACCAGTTCTACAGCTCAATAAAACCTGCATGAGCCATAGAACTGGTTGGTGACCTACTTACCAGCCCTATAGACATCCATTTCTAGCCGGAAAAAAAACATCATATGGCTTACAATCACTCAAATAATCCGAACAGTGAAAAAGTCTTACATCTAAAAAAATAATAATTGGAACTACAAAAAGTTCACAAACAAATTAACCTAAATCTTTGAAAAAGTCTTGTCGAAAATTTATTTTGGGTTTCATTTTTTAATTAATCGGTTGGACGGAAGCTCTATCTGACATAATTTAATTGAAGTCAGCAGTATAAAATTCATTGAAGTCAGCCACATAAAATCTGCTTAAAAGCTCTAAGTTCAGAAAACCTAAAAGCTTAAAAAAAAAGGTTAAAAGCTTAAAAAACTATGAGGCATCTTTTTCTGGACGTTGGTCTAATAACTTTTTATATTCCCACACGCAGCGAATACTGACTGACCGGATATGATTAAAGTGTTGATTTTGTTGAAGATTAATTCATTAGGCCAGAGAGTTCAATCCTGGTCAATAAAATTAACTGATTATACCAGGCACGTGTATTCCAGTCCTGGAGACTGAGATTAATTCATTAAGCCAATCATCATTAGCCAAGCACAAACCAATGACAAATCACATTAGGAAATATTTTATTTACATTGATGTTAAAACAAGTTAATAAAAAGTCTAGTGACAATTTAAGCGCAATTTCCTTAATTGATTTTTTGTGACCAAACGAAAGGATATTTTTGAAAACTTTCTTCTGCAATATTGTTCTAAATTATGGCAGGAATCGATTGGTAAATGTTTCAAGTCGCTAAGTGGTCTGGTTGCCGAGATATGGGCCAAAAACTGCATTTTTCGAGGTTTTTTTGGCTTTACTGGGAAATCCAGGAAGAAATTCCGGGAATTTTTTTGGACCACAATCATCCTCGGAACTTGCTTAACATATTTGCTTTTGGAACTAGTCCTCGATATTGCTTCGTTGAGGAGGAGATACGACTTAAAGCTGCGGACACACATCGGACACACATCCATCCTTGACGAGTTAATAATCGCAATTGTCAGTATGGAAATTGCGCTAAAAAAGAAAACAAACATAATTCTATTTCAAATTATAAATTATTTTAAATTATTTTAATTTTTTTTAAAAATTTTTGCAATTAAAAAATTCGAACTTTTTTGTGTTTTAATTACTTTCTAGCATAAACATCACATAAAATAGAAATAAAAACTCCTAGAACTGACTAGTTGACGTCTGTTTTGAAGTGCAGTAACATAAGTATTGTAGCTTTGATTTTTTTTTTCAGGCTCTGAGTTTTAACAAATTTAAGATATATTTAATGGTTAACCTCTTGCATATTTATGCACTTATTTTATTCAACCAGAATCGGGAGAAAGGTCATCGGGTTATATATCCATGCATCTTTTTTTAAATCACCAACCGTAAATGGAATATCAAGGCCAAAGATATCTTCTTCCTATATATCCATACCAATTATTTTACCCCCAGCATAAAATGGAAGGCTAGGAAGGTCAATGTACTTGTATATTATGCATCAGCTTTATTCCCCCAGCTTTGAGGGGTCAAGGTCAAAAGGTCAAGAACATCTTCTGCTTGTCCATCCATGCTCCAGTTTTTTTCTCTCCCTAGACAAGAGAGCACATGGAAGTCATGCTGGAGAAGCAAGCTGACGTCATCAAACGTCTGGGTGACCTCATCACCAGACTCCGCCAGTACAAACAGGACGAGGACTACACGCTGGGCGAGTACCTACTGGACCAGGAGTTGCAGTCTTAGGCCGGACGTCAGGTTGGTTGGTGACACTGTTACTGTAGGGGGGTGTGGGGGTGTGGGGTGGACGAGTACCTGCTGGATCAGGAGCTGCAGTCTTAGACCGGGTTGTCAGAGGTGTGTTGGTGGCTGTTACTGTGGGGGGGGGGGGGGGGGGGGGGGCTGGGCGAGTACCTGCTGGACCAGGAGCTGCAGTCTTAGGCCGGACGTCAGGTGTGTTGGTGGCACTGGTACTCTAGGGGGAGGGTGTGGGCGTCGGGTCTGTTGGTAGCACTGGTCCTCAAGGGGGGGAGGGGGTTCAGAGGTCTGTTGGTAGCTTGTACTCTAGGGGGGATGGACAGTTGGACAGTGTTTCTTCCAGAACTTTTTTCTCCGGGGGGGAGGGGGGTGAACTAAAATTTCCGGGGGGGGGGGGGGGGGGAAGGGCGGACACTGTAAAAAGTATATATTTATATATAAATTCCAATTCGTTAGGGAGGGGGGGGGGTATATCAGGTATGTTGGTAGCACTGGTATTCTATCATTCTATGGGGGGGGGGAGCGTCAGTTCTGTTGGTAGCTGGTACATCTATAGGCTACTTTCACCTCTCCGCACCACATATTGACCCCCACGCCTCGATGTAAACAAAAACTTATATTGATGGAAACCTCTTTTGATGTTTTCCACAACGTTATCTTAGGGCACGTGTAACTAAATACTGTGCAGCACGTGTGTAGTTAAATAGTAATGAAAGGCTACACAGCTGTTGTTGTCTCTGTAAGATTGTAGGGAGCTAAGTCCGAAAATCCGCTCAAGTATTGATTTTTTCGCCTCAACAACGACCCACATGAAATGATCGTATAGTTCTCTATACAAGTAAATAGTCCAGGGTTAGGGTGTTTGTTACTTGGAAGAATCTTATTAGGATTAATTCTATACACACAGAGAGAGACATATATGTGTTTATGTATATTTGTGTACACAGATATATAATCCATATATATATATATATATATATATATATATATATATATATATATATATATATATATATATATATATATATATATATATATATATATACACGAGCCGACCCGCTGCGTATAATACGCCGCTATTTAGTTGTTTTTTTTCTACTTTTCAGTAATTTATAATTTGTGAATTCGACAGTACCAATGCTGCCACTGAAAATATTTGCTTAAAAACACTAAACCCCCTCCCCCCCCCCACGTGAAAGCAGCCTCCTCTTAGTTACCTCCTCTAAGTTTAAAATCGTTTCAAACTAAATTATCTGCCCCTAATAGCCGTCACCAAACCCGTCTCTATGATTGTAAAATGTAAACAGCGTGACCACAGCTCACCAGACAATGTGGGAGTGGGGTGGTAGTGATAGTGATAGAGAGAAAGAGAGGCGACTGCAAGGAGGCGCTTGCAGCTT